GCGCGCGCCCCCGTGTCCTCACCCTGACTGAGTGCAGTGCCATCAGAGGAGAGGTGCCAGTATCTACGGTCGCTCTGTCTGGCCTGCTCTCCGTTCACCGCGCTTAAGAAGGGTCCCCACAAGCTGGACTCCTTCTCAAACCTGCCAAACAGCATCAAGTATTACTAAATGTAGGCAATCATACTCATAAAAAACAACTCAAAAAGGTACATTATATGAACTCACGTGAAGCCAACATTTTTGCCCTTGAGAAGTTCAAGGGCCTCCAACAGAGAGCTCCCCTTCGGTGCATCCACAGAGTAAACAACAGCGGCCCCGCTGGACGCCACCACCTCCACCATCACAGTCAACGTGGACTCGCTTGGTAAAACCACCACAGGATCTATGGGCTCCAGCACCAGAGTGTCTGCAAGACCACCATGACACAAACAGTGACAATACGGACACAATTTGAAATCACAGTAACCACAGGGAGTAGACCTAATGCCGCACATACCGTCCTCATTGAGGCACTCCTTGCTTTTAACCGCCAGGTAGGATTTCTGCTGGAGAGCTGGAAGGATCTGAGATATGCCCATGGGGTTGTGGTATGTGTTGCTTCTCGCATCCGTCCTCATGGCCTCCATTGAGGCAGCACACTCTGCAACTTGGCTGCCCATTGCTATTAAGGCCTTGAACACAACAAATGAGTATGTCAAAAGCTGCAAAGATGTTGTTCTGCAAAGTCTCATGCAGTGAAAGAGACAAAGGAAGCTTAACAAAAACATAAGGAAAAAGATTCTTACTTGCACTGCGAGGCCTGTGCTGAACTCATTGCCGATATGACCGTCGGCCCTACGAGCGGCCAAGAGCTTCTGCTTGATCTTGCTGAGGGCTGTGTCGAGCTCAGCAGCGTTCTGCACGTGAGAACCAGCTTCCTTCACACACTGGAGGGCCATTCCAGCCATGGCATAGGTATCTAGGGCCCGAGAGTAGGATAAAATGTGTGTTAGACAGATATAGTGAGAGTTTAACGTGAAGCACAAGAAAAACAAAACGGGAATCTAGGTTGTTACCAACCATGTTTGCTGGATTCTTCTCACATAAAAACAATTTTCTGTGAGGTGACCCACTATAAAAATGAATCTCGGGTAACTTTATGGAATTTACCTGTTTAATAAAAATAACTCTACATGTAAAGCAAACTAAAAACACTTGTTTTATCTTTCATACTATACTATCACTCCATCTATTGACACATTTTATCAGGAGAATTGGGATGAACTCCTGCCTGCTGATCATCTATTTAATAATTATTTGAACAGCTAAAAGAAAAAAAGAAATGAGGCAGGTTACACTCACCGATACTCTCAGTGTCTCCATGTTTGAAGTGTTCAAGTTCTACTGCCTTGATGAGCTTGTTGCTGACATGGTTGTTGACCCTGATGCCGCTCGTGCAAAGAGCAAGCACACCCAGAGAGTACTGGTAATAGTTGCTCAAAGGGCGGTGGCTGACTGCACAAAGGAGAGGAGAAACCAAATTCTATAAAATCATGACTTCACAGTAAGAATCCAAGAAATGTACAAGAACTGAAAAGGTACTTTATTTTCTCCCTATTTCAGTTTGGATGAAATTAGTCGAGAGTTGCTCCATTGACCAATTCCATCAAAACCGACATAAAAACTGCCACTAAAGAAATCTTAGACAAAGTAGAGACATCACAACTATGAAGCTAAAGTAGAGCAATTGTAAAAAATAAGATGTATTGACCATGTTTGCCAATAAATATAAATACTTAACTTATAGTTTAGGAAAAGTTTAATCGTTTCATTTTATTGAACCAATTCAGCCCAAGATAGTCCAAACAGGATTTTCTGTTCGTTGAGGATTTACACTTTTACAAACTAATAACCACACTAACTTAACACTGAACTCATTTTGCATCACATTGTTAAACAGGACTGTGAACACTTTTTATGACAAACCTTTGGTCTCCAAAAGGTCAAAGGAAAACTTACATGCAATATGGTGTTTTTCGTCTTCCATCTGCTTCTTCAGGTGCGTCAGCAGTGTCTCATTCTTCTCACTCCCTGTGAAGGTGATCGTGTTGAGGTCATAGCAGGAGGACTTCAAAGCCAGAGTGTACAGCGCTAAGAGGCCGGCAACAGGCTGGCTGTTAGAGAGAGAACTGAGAAACACAAAGGACACTCGGGTTCAAGTGAGAACAGAAAGGAGAAATATCAGTTCAGTGGACAAACAGATTTAAAATAGCATTCCTTTTGTCAAACCGTGCAATACCTTTGAATGTCATTGTGCAAATTGTTTTTCAGTCTATTCAGGTGTTCGCTCTCCTTGGCCAGGTTGTGGTAATTAGAAAGCCGTAATGCCAAGTGGACACTGGGATTGGGGAGTCCTTCCTGTGTCTCCAGAGAGCGAAGGAGATTCTTATTGAGTGACAGGTACAACTCACTGTTGGACACTTCAGTATCTGGATTAGAATATTAAAAGAAAAAACGTTACTCAGAAATTTAGACCACAGACGTAAAAACTTTTATTCAGGAACTCCCTTGCCGACATCAACATGAACTTTTAGAGCATTGCAAAACCAGAACTCCAGCATCAGCAGTTGCAAGAGGAAACAGACGTTTCAATGCTTTGTTTCGGTCCCAAATATCTTAACGTCTCTCTGTGATGTTTTACAAGACCAGAAAGACCACATTCTCTGTTTTGACAATCACAGAATTTTTGTCAGTGAGCAAGCAAGACAAAGTAAATTCAAAGACATGAAGTCAGCAGTTGCAAAATCAGTGTATGTCTAAACCAGTGAGTCCGTGTATTTGTAAACTGGGTTATTTCCAGGTTCCAAACAGTGATTGGCATAACTGGATTTATATATTTTTTTAAATAAAAAAAACAACCAACTTACCACATGGTTTGCCTGAGGCTAAAGCCAGTAGGCTCGCGATTATGACCAAGGACAGCATTCTGGGCAACCTATTTGATAACAAACAGTGGAAATAAATCAATATATTCGTTAAAGTAACAACACAAACTGTAAAATTGAGGGATCAAGAAACCTCTTAGAATTACAGCTTTAAGGTATTTGAAAAAGAAAGGCACGTACAGAGATGTCAAACAATATCTACAAATAATTGCAATATACCAATGGATTACACATAAGTCTATTATTATTATATCGTATCTCTAACTTTATCACAGCAGCTTAGTCATTAGCTGCGGTAAACATCATTGTCTTACCTGCTCAGAGAGTAACTCCGGTGTGAAGAACTAGAGCTGAGTAGGTATGAAGACCAGCGGTAGAGACAACAACTTCTAGCGTCTCACTGTCACATGACTCGTCATTTGAGATGACAAAGCGATGAAACAAGCGAGAGGGTCCACGAGCTATTGGCTGGGTCAGAAACAGGAAGTGGGGACAACTTTCTTGCCAATCGCATACTCTTTGGTAATAGGAGCACACAAAGCAAGAGGCAGGTGTCTATCTTGCTTCACACATGTCTTCTGGAATGAAAGCTGACCTCGTCAGCCTAAGTAGCAACAACCGCTGCTAACGCTTCAACAAAACCGTTAACTTTGCTTCTGAATCTGACCGAGTGTTCAACACAAACGTTGTCGTAGCCAAGTCGTTTGTCTTCAGGAACGTTAACTACAATTCCCACAATTCACCTGACGTAACATACGCACTTTCTAAAACCTTGACGACTCTTCTGGCGCGACGCGTAACTCACTTTGTTAGTAAACTAGCTAGCTGAGTTAAGTGTAACCCAGCCTACCATTCAAACAGTTCACACTACAGGACCTTTAATGCAGGTGGTGTTAGTATTAAGTTAGTAAGGCTTGCGCATGCCGACGCTGTTGCTGTGTGCTAATGGGATTATTCCAAAGGAAAACAATGTGAACTGACGGAGACTAGCTAACGCTGAACATCCACAACAAAAACACGAAGGGGCAGGGCAGCTGCACAGGTCAGTCTGCTAACGCTACGACGTCATGTGTCTGGTTTAGTTCTTGAAGCTGCAGCTGTGTATAACTCTCAGCTTTATTTGTAGCGTCATACTAAGGTGAACGTTGTAACGGTGGCCATGTAAGCTAGCTATCCAGATAATCAGCCTGTCCTGGTGTAAACAGATGATTAACTTGTGCTTCATGTAACGTTAGGTTTCAGAAAATACCTTTTAACAGCTCACCTGATTGGTATCAATATTGATCTTCCAGATCAGATAGATTTATGTACCCGTGTGTCTCTTCACATCATTTCACCGACTGGATCATCATGCATCATCCTGCTCCCACAAGCAGTGAACTGGGGTTTCTGCCAGCCATGTATTCATTTTCAGGCCCCACAAGCCTTCCTGAATTTGACCTCGGATCTCCAAGTACGTCTGGTCACCTACAGAGAGCAACTCTATCAAACAAGTATGTAGCAGACCGTGCAACTGTCAGAAATACAATAGCAGCATGAAATATCATTTCAGTCTCAACCTGACATGTTATATGTTGTGTTTTGACATGTCTGTCCCTCTCTTCCGAAGCAGCTGGGAGACGAGGTCCCTCAGGAAGCACAGGAGGAGAGTTGAAGATGAGTAAGTGAGCGATGCACAGGAAAAGCAGTCTTACTGAACATGCTTGGAGATATATACATACATATGAGAGTTGTGATTAATATCATGATGTTTTCCCAGGGGATGCACTGCTAAAAGGAGAAGGTTGATGTTCGAGGCAGAAGTGGACGTTCCAGAGAACTCAAACACTCGCCCTCGTCATGACTGGCCTCCGGCTGACAGCTGCCCTCCTGCGCCTGCACAGCCGCAGCCCTGTCCCGCATCTCAGAGCTCGACTTTGCCGCAGCCCTCCTCTGCGCTTCCCCGCTCTGAGGTAGAGAGCTCCTGCATGGAGATAGAGGCAGCTCAGAGGAAACTGCAGGAGATCGAAGACAGGTCGGCAATATGCAATGTGTGCAAAATGTTGCAAACATTGCCAACTATCTGATTGCTTGCTTGTTAGAATTAGACCTCAAACTGACACCGTATGCCCCAAAATCCTTCCTCATATTAGCTATGCTTATGCTTTAAGGGTTTGTTTAGTGTAACTTTGATTCCCTGTTGAGAAAATATGTATGTGTGATTATTTAATAGCATTTATTTTCTGACCATATTCTTGTTACGGGACAAAAGTATTATTTTGAGTGGGTCACAGCGCTAATGCCTAAGGAATGCTAGTTTAAAATGTATCAAAACATTTAAAGATTTCAAAAATCTCAAGTGTTTGGTAAAAAATGTTTGACTTTAGGATTTTGTTTTAAAGAAATACTTGACTAATCATTCTGAAGTAATGAACACCACGTACCAATATCAAGTTGATGCTGTGATAGTTATCTCATAATTAATACATCCTATCACCTACCCCGATAGAAACACATACTGCATAGTCCACAGACACTGCTGTGCTTTCATTTGCATTCACCTTTACATATTGCAGCTATATCGGCACATACTGTACCCTTTTGTTTCTTAATCACAGAATAACACTGGAGGATGATGATGAGGATGAAGACCTGGATTTAGAGCCAGCCCCGAGACGGCCGGTGTTGGTGATGTCCGACAGTTTGAAGGAGGGTCTGCAGCGCGGCATCAGCGACATCCTACCGCACACAGTAGCCCAGTCTGTGTATGTTCTCCTAATTCTGTTATAGGAATGTTTAATGTCTCATGAAGTATAACTTGAATTAGATGACTCATGTTCTGCTGTTTCCTACTTGAAAAGCTGTCGACACATTTTCTTTTTGCCTCACCTGGTTCTGCCTCATACTTTTAGGAGCCATTCCTGTATGGAGTTGGTGTTGTGGCGGCCACCGGACGATCCCTTCTGTCGCAAGCGAAAGGGCTCTTTACAAAAACAGCGTAAACAACAGACAGTTTCTCGGCAACCCCCAACTCCATGCTCATCTCCCACCCCTCACATTCCCCTCAGCCCCTCCAGTCCACCTGCAGACACACGGTCTTCTCGCTACATCTTTCCTGTGGCCCACAGCTCTGGGGAGGAGGACATGGAAATGTGATGGTGCTCGATGACTTGAAAAGCCATGCCAAAGTAAAAGACTTGAAATGTAGTCGCACAAAAGACTCTAAAGGACTCGGAACCACATGAAGTTGGTCAGTTTGGCAAGGCATGTCGGCTTAACATAAGTATTGTGCTGTTTTGGACAGTTTGTGCAAAAAATGTTCTGCCTCACAGTCGCACAGTTTAGTTTTTTTGACCATAATCCCATTCAACTATATGTAACAACAATGTTTAGCTAATTATTCAGCTTTATTCATGTAAATCTTCAAGACAACTGTCATGATCTCAAGATCTTGACAAGTTCTATAGACGGCCTTAAATAATCAATTTTATACCAATTTACAGGATTTACCCGTGTCCTTCGATATTAGATCATTTGTACATTCTTTTGCCAAAGCCTGGCCAACAACACACGGATGTACTGTAAATATGAATTTCTTCGTTAAACATCAGTGTGCAGCATCTGAATTTTGTACAATTATTTTTATGTTCAGCTTCTGGGCATTGTTAACAGGACGTGAAATATTGTTCCTGTGTGTTGTGTTCACATTTGCTCACAGCATGACTTCCTGCTTGCTGTTGTACTTGTTGTGGTAGAGAGATTATCTTCAGTGCTTTTGGCAAGTACGCCATCTTGGAGCTTTGAGAAACTTGTTAAGAAGTCATGGAAATGCACCTTTTGATGATTTGATTGTATTTTCATATATACATTACCACATTTGCAACCAGCCACAGAGTGTTATGGCGTTTTATTTGTTTTCACCTCTGGCCATGTAGATATTTCTCATGGCACAGTTTGTTTTCATTGGATGAAATTTCACTGGAATTTAGTGAGCGCAGTTCTCTTGTTGGGTGAACGTTGCGATGCGTTCATCATTCGATACAGTAGAGCAGGAAGAGCAGGAGTCCCGGGATTAACCCTTGTGGAAAGCCACAAGTGACCATACAAGCATATATATATTTAAAACAATTTAGCTTAGTAAGAATTTAATCAATTAACTATTAGGTTATTGAACAGTTTGTCAGACAGAAGGAAAAAGATTGAGTGTGTCCAATACCCTCTTTAGTGTCATGTAGAGTCATTGTCTTTATTGAGGATTTTATTCATCAGTTGAGTTAGGGCCAGCTCTGAAAACAAGACTGACGCTGAAGCTTAATCAATCAACATTTATTTGTATAGCACATTTTAAAATACAACAAAAGTTTCCCAAAGTGCTGCACATACAGTAGATACACAGTCATACAAACAAAGACTGGATTAATAACAGTAAGTGACATTAAAATCAAGACTAACTGACACAAATCACACAAAAGTGCCGTGTTAAAATCAAAGGTGATAGGCCAGGGAAAAGAAATAGGTTTTTAAACATTGGTAAGGTGACAACCAAACATGAAGGGCAATGTTGTTCCAGAGCTTAGGGGCAGCAACAGAGAAGGACCGGTCGGCCCGGGTTGTCATTTTTGTTTTCGGAATAATTAAAAGCTGTTGGCCGAGAGATCTTAGTGAGCGAGGTGGGGTATGGGGCTGCAGCAGGTCAGACAGATAGACTGGGGCGGCGCCATTTAAACACTTAAAAACAAATAACATTTTAAAATGAATTCTGTACTTAACAGGAAGCCAATGAAGGGATTTTAAGATCGGTGAAATGTGGTCACGCCTTCAGTTTACTGAAACAGGAAGAGAGTTGTCAAATACATACTGGAGGCACTAGACCTATGTGGTCCTTTTCAACATTCTGCTGAAGCGTCTTGTGAACCGAAGCATGGCTAACAAACTGAAAATGACTGCCAGAGTGCACATGTGATTATAGGTAAGCCATCTTTACAAAATCTGGCGTCAGTCCCAGTGGATCATTTTACATTAAGATTAGACGTTTTCAGAAAGTTATCTAAGATGTTATATTAAAATCTAATTACATCATTTTGTGTTATCTACAGAATGTTTTTATTATACAATTTAACATCTTGTAACATTTATGATTGCACTAAAGATTCCCACAAAGACCAGCTTTATGAGGTTCTCTGACATAACTCACATGACCATCAGTGAAATGTCAGTTTATCGCTCACTCAGAGTTCATAGCCTTACGCCATAAAAACCTGACTGCCTCAAGACCGCAACGTGAACTAAATGACCAGATCTTCACTCATGGCGTTTGTCACTCTGACCTGCTTTTAAATCTGCAATCTTAAGCACATGTGGCAGTAAATGATTTATTTCTGTGGCAACAAAAAATGCATTGAAATGCATTACAATACATTACTGGTGTGTAACACACACACACACACACACAGTATGGTTTCTTAACTTATGACTGTCCTGATTGATGAGTGACTCTGAATCCCAGCAACGTCTTGACTTTGAGTCTATAAAGGAGACACCAGTAGTTTACCAAAATATGCAAGCACAGGAATAATATTGTAATGTTAATGATAATGCCACATTTACAGTGTTTCTTTTCCTCTTCAAGAAGTACTTATACATTTATTTAGAAGATATCAAATCAGGTCCTGACGTGCCGAGCGTCTTACAGATGTTGAGATGTGTTTCCTGTGGTGCCTCTAGAGGTCGGAGCTAGTTGTCATTTATAAATGTAAATGATGCAGCGTGCATTAACTACTAACGTTTACGGTTTATCACCACTGTGAATGCAGCTAATGGTCATTTAAACAACGCACTCACTGTTGTAAGATAGGATCCGGACAAATCTAAAGGGATTGTGTTTGAAGGCGATGGGCTGCAGCTGTGGGCCTGGTTTTCCACACGGAGCTGCTTGACTCTGCTCTGGAGGTAACGCAGAAGCTTAAATGAAGCCACGTCTGAGGGGCTGTGGGAGGCAGCAGAGTCCACAGCACGGAGGAAGGGAGAGCAGACCGATTTCTGAGCTTCCTGAAGGGAAAAAGACAGGTTTTTCTTTTCAATGAACAGATAAATATTGTCTATCTTTAGGTTACAGATCTGTTAGAGCTTGGTCTTCATGCCCACACCAGAACAGCGAAGCATTTACATTTGCACTAAGTGTCATCTCTCCGTCAGGCTTCTCGGGATCCCTCTGCCTCTCCTCTTGGGGCTTTGATGGTTTTCTGGAAAACAAACAAACCCGCATTTAAAAAGTTTGAAAAGTTGTTTGTTTACAATTAACATAGCAACATGTAGGAGGTAAAGGTTTACATGTACAGTTAATTTGACATCTATGGTACAAAACGCATATGGCAGTGAGTTGAAGTGACATCATGCTCTTGTAAGGACAGACAGCTGGTTAGTATGTCATTGGAAACCAGTTACCTGCCCCTTAACAACTTTGTCTTGCATCTGTGGGATAGCAAAAAATCAGAGCAAAACTTAAATATAGAACAGCAGAATATCTTTTCGTTTCTCTTTTGTATTGTCTTTCTATTCTATAAAGTTATTGGATTCAGGGCCATTTTTGAGAGCGGAGCAAACCTGTTCCACATGTCCAAGTGTTGTGGAAATCACTGCTTCAAACTTAAAGAAACTAATTTGTGTGCTTTTACTTTTACTTGATGTTGGTTTGCATGTTACCTCTCTAATTCAGCTGTCAACTCTTCTTCAAACTTGCATGCCAGACGAGCTGCAGTCTGTTCCTTCCACTGACCCATGCTCCTCTGGACCTGCCTGAGCTCCAGCTCTTTGGCCTTCAGCTGTTTGCGAAGAGATGCTGCCACCCCGCCACCCTCAGCTCCTCCTTCACACATACGAGGCCAGTTCAGACTGCTTAACTCCTCAATGTGCTCCTGCAGAAGCAGATGGCGTTGCGTAATTATGCAGTGAGATGTTTCTATGTGGGCCGACATGAGCCTTAAAAAGTCTGCAAGTTCATACCTTAATGAGACGCTCCTTTAGAGAATCCAAGGCTTGGTCTCTGTCCATCCTCAGCTGCTGCCTCTGGATGCTCGATTCTCGCTCCTGAAAGAATGGACTTGTATTCATGTATACGTGTAATGTGCTGTATATACAAACACCAGGCACAGCCTAAACTATACCTGGTCTTTTCTCAACTGCTCAGTGGTTTCTTTCTGTAAACCAAGCTCCTGCTGTAGACGGTTGATCAAGTGCTTTAACTGCTCTCTGAGGTGTGTAAGAGCCTCAGCTGCTGTAGGACTGCACAAGCACATCATGTTGCCTACAGAATATCCGCCTCTCTCTAAACCAGATATGTATGTAAACCAGAGCATGAATTATACCTGTGAGGTAGTTGCGCAGAACCTTGTTTGGCTCCATTCTGCTCCACTAAGAGGTGTAGATGATGGCACTCTGCTCCCAGCTCCTGGGCCCAGTGCCTGAGCTGCTGTTCCAGCTCAGCTGTGATTTGGTTATGGCTGCTCTCGCTTTCGTCTGACATTATTCTGAGCTTGTCAGCCTCCTTCTCTGCCACCTGAACAGCCTGCTCGAGCCGCAGCACTGCCCTCTGACTCTCCTGTGACCGCAGACCACACCATGTCAGAGTTTCTACAAGCACCACATCTCTTTGTTTGCCTGCAAATAATTGCCTTGTAAGGTTTTCTTGCACCTGTGCCATCTGTCTCTCCAACTTCTGCAGCTCAGCCTGGTGCTCCTCTTTAAGTGATTTGCAAATGACAGCCAGCAAAGACTCCTGCGCTCTCTGCTGCGCACAGCTTTCACTCTCCCTATCGTGCACACTCTTCCAGATAAAAATTAAATCATAGAAAGAGAATGAAATCGGAATAGAATCAGAATTTCTGATTTATTTAAGATGGTAATGTTCTATGCCATGGTTGCGAGTCACCTTACAGTTTTTAGTTCCACCACTTCATGTTGAAGAGCCAGCGCTTTACTCTTCTCTCGCTGCATCTCACTCCTCATGCTTTCCAGGCTCTTTCTATTCTGCTCCTCCAGTATCCCACAATGCACCTGCACTGCTTCCACTTTTTCTGCCTCCCACTTCATTCTCTCCTCCTCTATCGCTTTGAGCACCTAAATGGAAGCACACTGTGCATAAAATGCAATCGTTTTGAAAAATATTGTATATTTTAGGAAGCGGATTATCGGAGTACCTTTTCCAAGGCTTTTAGATGTAGCTCCTCTTCACGGTTCTGCTGCTGCTCCAGAGAACCCCGTAGCTGCTTCGCCTCGTCTTCTTTTAGCTATTAGGAGAGGATCACATGAAAAGTAACCCTATGGAGTGTTTTTACTTACTGTATGTATATTGTATAGTGCAATAATGCATGAAAATACCAAAGGTTTTAATACCCACTAGTGCCACCAACACTTTGGATAGAACCAAATAGTTTACATTGAGATTGTGTAAGAGTGGATTTTTTTTCTTCAGGGAAACACACTGACCTGAACGGAACTTTTCAAGGCCTCAATGTGTCGTGTGAAAAACAGAGCTTGTTCTTTCAAAGCGTTTGCTTTCTCCTCTTCAGTCTGCTTATTGACCTTGAGTATGCAACAGCCAGAGGGATCGCTACATCATTCATTAAACTATGGTGACGTCATTTGAAGAATCAAACATTTAGTTTGCAGACATGTTTGTCACCTTTCGGATTTGCTGCTCATGAGCCAAAGCCAGTTCTTTCTTTTGCTGTTTCAATGCCGCCTCCTGAATAAAAAAAGAGGAGCCCTATATGTTACAATTATAAAAAACATGGCGCGTGAACTTAAAAATCACAGCACGTACCATCATTCTATGGGCTTGCTCGTGGGCCTCTTTCAGTGCATTGCAGTGCTGGATTTCCATGTGTTGTAGCTCCCCCCTCAGGCCGTCTCTCTCTGCTTGTAAGGCCTCACGTTGCTCCTGCAAATCTAGCACCTGTAGCTCCTTTTGGGCCAACATCTTCTCCTGAGTGCCCACTCTGATCCTGCATTCTCCCAGTTCCCCCTGCAGTTTGCCTACTTGAAACTCTACTGCCTGATAGAAAGAGATACGGAAACAATAGCAAGGATGGTCAAAAATAATAAATTAACAAAAATGTTGACAGTGTGCTGTTTGCTTAACAGATAAATATTAGATTTTTTATTTTTAGAAATTAGAGGTTAGGTGCCACCTCGATCTGTTCCTGTTTGTGCTTCTGTTTCTCCTCCAGAGAAGCACAAGTGTTCCTCAGTAAGCTCTCTGCCTCACGAGTCTCCTCCAGCCTCTGCTCCGTGACCACACATAAACACATATCCAGAAATATTTTCAAACACACACCAAAACAAATCCTTCTTCCTATAGTTTCACTATTATTTTTACAGTGTGAACACAGTTACATGAAATCTATTTTGATTTGGTTTATACTCGTCATTATAGTTATAAATAGGCCTTAACACAGTACTACCTCTTGTATGGACTCTAGTTTCTCTCTTGCACGTCGCTGTTCAGCAAACAGTTCTGTTTTGGCATTATCAAGCTGTCTGTCCATCTCCTTCCTCTCCAGCACTGACATTACGACACTGGGCTGTTTGTGGAACAGTGGAGGATCAGAAACGTGTAGTAATAAGAACAATCTTGACATATTAAAACATGTGAATGACTGCTTACAGCCAAGAGTTGATCACTTAGAGTCTGTTGACATTGATTCAGGGTTGCGATTTCCATGTCTCTTACCTCAAGGATACAGGACTCTCTCTGCCTTTGCAGCTCATTCAGCTGGCAGCTAAAACACATTCATTATTGCATTACTATCCTTTGTACAGCACAGGATTAAGTTGATGCAGTGTGATGCTACCTTGTTGATGTATACAGCTTTGTATAATACAGTTAGTTGGAGTTTGTTTTTATACCTAATAGAGTCCTGCCCTGCCCTGCTGTTTCTTAGAACAAACTCCAGAGTCCTCTTCTCCTTCTCCATCTTTGATGTCTCTACAGTCAGTCGCTTTAATTCCTGCAAGGCATGCTGGGACATATACCAAAAACCGTGAGTACTAGTAAGACTTCTGTTTATACTACTGTATATAAGATGCTACACATTACCTTTCTTCTTTGTTGAAGTTCAGAGAGGGAGAGCTCAACATCATTTATCTGAGTCTTCTTCCTCTGTAGGGTCATCTCCTCTTTCTCACATTTCTTAACCAGACACACAAATCAAGTGATGTCTCATACATATGCACACAGGACAATTTATACAATTGACATAAAACATTTCTCAAATTATACTAAATGACTGGCAGATTCATTCCCACTTGTCTGATTGTAGAGAGCCGCTCTTTCATCTTGGCCCAATCAGACTGCATCTTCTCTGATGTTCTTTCAGGCCTGCATCGCCTGCTCCAGTGATTTATTTCCTCATCTGTGTCCTTATCATTGTCACCCAAAGAACACACAAGTCTGGGATACACAAACATGCACAGTGTACTTGTGCAACATAATCATTTTTAAAACTTGTACACAACATCAAAGAGAAGACCAAAATGATTAGTATGTTTTTAAATGTTCTTCCACATGAATTACCTGTAAGTCTCTCTCTTATTACGCTGTGCTTTAGAAGAACTCCTGTTTTGTACATTTTCATTAGACGATCTTTGGCCTTTGTAAACAAAGAAAGGACAATTCTGTGGCATTTAGAAATAAAAATGTTTCTTTCATCACTGTGCACTCATAAAGGAATACACAGTCGTGCTTTACCTGATGTAAATCCAGCTTCACTTCCCTGTGTGTGTGTGTCATAGTCACTGTGGTTGGTACAGCTGTCATCCATGACCATGACAGACTGAATGAGAGAGCGCCATCCTGGGGGTATCACACAAATGATAATAAATGCTGTAATTTCACACATGTTTTTGCACTCTTGTTATATTATTTTTCTACTTTTTAAGAGTTTGTAAAAGCATGTTAAAGTATTTATTGAGTTCAATTATTAAATCTTAAATTTTTCAGTTTGTGCTGTCAGCTCTTTTGTTATTGTCCGTTTTTCAAATGGTGATAATTTATATGTAAAATGTTTTGTCTAAAACCAGACTTGCTTTCCTCCATATTTGCTGCAGTCTCTCACCTGGCTGCCTGTGAATATGCTGCCTGACTGGCTCTGTGCAGACTGAGTCACTGTCACTGTCAATGGACACGGTGTCAAAACTCCGAACAGGTACTCCTACAAGAGATACAAGCACGCCCACATTCACTGGGCCTCATGCATGATGCCATACAAAAAAACAAATTTCCTTATTTTTGTTAGTATCAACGATTTGTTCTCATTTTGTTAGTACCCAGTGATTTCTGGGATTCACTAATGTATTCGTGTTTTTGCTTTCTCTTACGTAAGAGATCATTTTATAAGTGTTCAAGAGCACTTATACCAAGATTCCACAGTCCACAAATTGTACATTATTATATATTTTGGAGTAATTATACGGATTTAATAATTATGTTTGTGGGCTTGAGAAATACTATTTGTCCACTCATCCCAATTAAGACTATAAAAACCCTCGGATGATACTGCGTGGGTTCAGGGACTGAATGGCTCACATATTCAACAGTCCCTCAATTTATCTATTGCTTAAGTTCTTATTCTTCTTCTTCCAGCCTTTTTGGTGGCATCCTTCCAAATCTCGGGCTTGTACCAGGGTATTTGCACACAACACAACACCTGCCTTAAGTAGTGTTTAGGGAGTTACCTGTGCTAATAATAAACAATCCGCCACACGCCTCCAATTTACGATAAAGTGGGATTCATCATTTAGCACACTTGCGTAAGAGCAGATTTGAGATTTGGATGGTTAAGATTGTTTCGTGCATCTGGAGTCGGCTTCTCATATTTCTTTTGCATAATAGAAAATTAAGAGAAAACACGAGAGAATTTTAGGAGAATGTTGCTGCTTGAGTCAAACTGTTTCTATTGGAGGAATTCCCAAAAGGATTAGCTAGAGTGTAATCTGTGTGTGGTACCTGCCAACCACCTGCCCTTAGGAGAATGGCTCTTGTTCTGCCACAGGGTTTCATGTTCTGTGAAAGTCTAGACAATCTTAAGTGAGTGCTCTGATCAATAAATGTATCCTTTGATTTTGAGACAGTAGCCTTATGTTGTTGTTATTTAGCCTTCTTGAGGATGTCACCAAAATGCTGTTCCCATGGTCCCGCAAATTTCAAGAGTGCAATTTATTTAACATGGTGATTTTTTTTGTCACGCACACTCAGGTGATTGATTAAAATCTCATGAGTTATTTTCAAATTTCCATTAACAGAATTTTTCAATAGGCTGTTACTTATACCAAAATAAACTTTCTATCATATATATTAGTTTCATTGGGAGAAACCAAGCAATTCTACATAAAATCAGACATTCAGCACCCCCATATAGCCTGAATGGAATGGTCCTTTGTTTCATAACCACATTTTACCACCATATTGACGATTTGAGTGTGAGATTGGCAGTTCAATCAAGCTCTTTAGATCGAATCGTCTATTCTGACTCACACCTAGTCTAGATGCAAGTTGGTGTGCTGTAGGGGCTGCAATGTAAACTATAACCAAATAAAAATGAAAAAGTGCTGGTACAAGCAATACTTATTGTATGATTCTTGGGTATAAAGACAGACATTTTTTCAAAAGGCTCATCCTCTGAGAGTAACGAATGGCCTCAATACATTTCAAAGAAATATGCCCATCAGATATCGGAAGAGGACAGTTCTGTGAGTTAGATTTAAACCCCTGGGCACTAAATATTCTCAGCAAGAGTTTGAAAAGAGACTACTCACTGCTGCCATCATCACCAAGCCTCTGTGGTGTGTTGTATCTCTCTTCAGCTCCTGTTTTCTCACTCCATGATTTATTTACTCCGTAGGTGTCATCAAGACATTTCTCCAATTTCTTTCTTTGACAATAGTGAGCAGTCTCTGTGTCTTTACTGCTTTTCCCTGTCGTTGCTGTTCCTGCTGTTCTTAATGTTCTGACATTAAGAACACTGTGTCCTTTTTGTTCACTCTGGCGATTGTCACAGTCAGATATCGCTGTCCTCTCAGTCAATCCCTCTTTGTCTAGTTGCGGCATATTGCTAGCTGGCAATGCCAATTCGACCATCTCGTCTCTGAAGCATCTTACAAAGTCCTCAGTGCAGATGCTGTCTGAAGGAGGGTGGGTTTCTTCAGCCATCCTTCCCTCATTACATGTGTCTCCAAGCAGCCTCTTGAGCCTCCAGATGACCTGTTCCCTATGAGACACACTTTCCTCTTTGTCTTTTATTCTTCTGTCTATTTTCTGTTTAGTTTCTTCATGAGCTACAGGACCATCACGGAAACCTGTGCTCCTTTCTGGGGGAAGAAAAGTCATAGTATAGCATGTCGAAAAGTCACATAGTATGTCAAAAAAAGTCATAAAAAGGTCACAGTATAGCAAGTCGAAAAAGTCTCAAAAACGTCATAGAATAGCATGTTTTAAAAAAAGTATTAAAATAGTTATAGTATGGCGTGTCGAGAAAAAGTCATATTATAGCATGTCGAAATTAGTCAAAGTATAGCATGTTGAAAAAAGTCTCAAAAAAGTCAGAAATAACAGCTTTTCCTGTAATAATACTGATAGTGAAATATTACCTGATGTTTGGTCCATCTTCGGTGTGTGTATCAAATCAAGACAACACATGGGAGCGTCATTTGTTTGAGTTGTACTCCCAAACCCTGTGTCTTTGCTCAGGGATTGACTCCAACTGAGAGGAGCTAGGAAAAAAATGAAAACACGGATTATCACCCGAAAAGGAAAAATGTATTAAACTGTGTGTTGTGACATAATATATTACCTGTATCATTGCAACCGTGTCCTCTGGAAATTGTCTGACATGTCTGGGGCTGGATCTAAATACATGAATCACACTTAAAAACATTTATTCTAGATTACACAAACAGACAAGTAGACATGGAATGAAAATCACAGACCTGCAGCTGACCAAGCTGAGCATCGATAGCATCTAAGAGAAGGTCACAGGGGTCCAGTTTGGGAGGAGGAGAGTCCAGTCCAGACCCATTGCTGCTATTGTTGACATCTGTGAGGACAGACAAAAGGTTAAACATGAGTGGATGCAAATTCCCAAAAGGCTGAGATGTACATGATAAAGATGAACTACTAATAAAACCTGTGTAAAGAAGCTCATCTGTGTCCTCTGCGTCTCGCTCAACTCCGTCATGGCCTCTGTCAGCCATGCCCTGTTGCTGAGGAAAGATACTCAGACACTCAGCACATACAGACACAACTCCCCACTTCTGTCTGGTTAAGGCTGAGTGGGCAGCCATAAAGTGTGTGTGTGTGTGTGGGGGGGGGGGGGGCATGTTGCTCAGTTGCCCAGGAAACCAAGACAATTTAGCTTGTTAGCCAAGCTGACATCTTCTCACAAAGACCATAAATTCCTGTGCCTTGTCTCTTCCACTCCCCAAAATAAACGTTAAGTACAGCAGCTATGCAGGTCAGTGCACTTAATCACAGCAATGCAGGATTTGAAATGTTTCGCAAGCCATGACTTAAATGCCTAAAAGCTAATACTAGTGTTATAATAACAATTTTCTTAGCACCAGCTACTCGGAAGAATCCCATGGTTGAGCCTTTGTCATTCATTTAGTGGAGAATACCACTAACATGTAATTATAGCTAATCTGACTCTGTCTGAAACTCCATAATTTAGCGTTACTTACCTCCAGGGGACAACCGAGGAGACGCTGACTCCTCCGTGCTGAAGCACCAGTGAAGCGCATGTGTGCTGAGTCTTGATTGACAGGAGCTTCAGTAGGTTGCCTTGGAAACGGTCAAACAGCTCGTGGCCAGCACAGGACGGTGAGAATGGTGAGAACCGCCGCGCGCACAGTGGAAATATTAGCACCAAAGTGAGCCCAGAAGTGAGTTTGCAGGGCTGCAGTTCAAGAGACTTGAATAACAGTGTACAATACATATATTCATGCAAATAGCTGTACAATTATAGTGTATGTTTTTATGGTTTTAAAGCATTCATTAAATGACAGGAGGTTTTGGTGGGGAAATGATTAACTCTAATTTGGTTATCTTGTGTTGGCCTATAGGATAATACAAATTAAATACATACAGTCTAAAATGGATCAGCTGGTTAAATACTAGAATCAACTGAACAATGTTAACTCACCTTATAAGGCCCTGGCTGGGCCCTAATTATGTACAGAACTGTACCCGCATAGTGTCTAAATATAGCATCATAACATTAACTATTATTTTAATTGTCTTGTGGCAGAAGATAAGGTGCAATCAGTTTTTTGAGCTGCCAGCCTTCCTATTTGGGACAAACATTACAAGATTGTAGGCCTACAGCTGCAGTACAGAATATCATGCAAGACCTCCATTGAGATGTATATATTTACTGGACTTAAAATTGTGCCTTTGACGTTCAACCCATGTGGGTTGATTTGCAGGCAGGCAAAATGTCAGGATTTTGATAATTTGCCATGTGTCTCATGAGTACGTGTCTGGCTTTTCGATACAATGCATAGGCACAGCAAATATTGAAATCTGTTTTGTGCACTATGGGGCCACCCTTCTGTTTAGAGTCTCAGTCCCTCCCTGGTGGTCGCCCCATTTAAAATGGCCTCGACACGGTACTGCACTTTAGCAATGCTGCAAATTATACAGCGTCAGTGACGAGTCACAGGTTGATTTAACACCCTTAAAAAGTTCAATCAAAAACTCAGGCAGGGCTTTTGTAATTTCCTGTATTTATTATTCTTTGTCCAACTAAAAATTGTACTGCGCTACATTGTGTAGCTTCCTACTAAGTCTAAGCTTGATATATTATTTTTATTATAAGTAGTAATGTTACTGCTGCAGCTCCTGTCAGTTTTTTCACGTATTAATTAACACTTTTTTGTACTAAAACTGGCATAAAATCTCAAATATATAATTTAAAGCCATCCCACCTTTCAGCTGTTTAGCAGAGAGAAAATAAAGCAAACCAATATCCAGTGTCAACAATAACAACTTTATTATCTTCTTTTTTCATTATTGTGTCTTTGTCATTTAAAGACAATGTTATACAAGTACAAATTAAGGGAGAAGATACACAATTTTAAAAAAAAGAACCAAAACCTCAGTTCAATCTGCAGTTTCACCTGAAAACACCTACATGTATTTAGGGAGTAAGAGTAGTAGTCAAGGCAGGTCAATCACCTTTGACCTCTAGTACCAGGCCACTGTTGTGATGCGTCTCATTAACTTTCATCATCATACAGATTATTAACATCACCATCTCACAACAAAGCTGTGAGTCACAGTCCGAGGAGAAACCGGGTTCAATTTGGACAAGGCAAGAAAATCTCCAGTTTGCTTCTGCTTCATAACTGAGCAGCATCGAATGAGAAGGAAATGTGTGCCTCGCATGCACACAAATCCAGCTCATCATGCATACAAACAGTATTAAAAAAAAAAAACACCAACATAAAATTAATGGCACCCATGAGAAGGCAGAAATCAGAAAATAAAAGCGTACAAATTAAGCTTAAAAGTAATCACACCATAGTGAATTAAGTGAGCTGAAATGAGAGAAACAATTAGAACCCTCCCACATAGGGAAGGCAAACAATGAGGTTATTTTTAGTCTACAGTACTCTCCACGTACACTTTGGTTGTTTTTTCTTTCCCTTTCTGCATGAAGCAGACAGCTGTTTTGTTTAAGCAACAGCCGTGATCCGACATCACTACACCTCACTATTGCTACAGCTGTCCGATACCGTACAGACTTCAGTAAAGTCACCGTCAAGTACTGAGGTCATGTTATCTGGAAACGTACTGATTAAAACTCATGGTGAGCTATCTGTTATCATTCAAAATATAACATGTTTTCTCAAATATAAAATCATCTCAAACACAATATATTTCAGTAACTCTCTAGTAACTTCAAATTGATCGCTGAGAAAAGAAATCACACCCTAACTTTCTATTTGTACAATTTCTCCTCCGCCATTCAGCAGTGATGATACAGATTTAACTGTACAACTTTTTCAAGACAGCGAAAAAATTAAACATCTTGCTGCAACAGTGTCCATCCATGTATGCGTCACCCTTGATATGATTTTAAGTGTACACAACCTCTACCAAAAGCTTGTATCTCTGTACACGTTAGACGATGTTGATGTCTGTGTGAAACTGGATAAGAGGAAGAACCAAAGCGGTCATTAGTGAAGTAAAAGGAACATTGTGGAAATGAGCGTATTTTTTTTTCTCTCCAGAAAAATGTACCAATCTGGTCTCTGGAGAGAATAGTACCGATCTCGTCATCTAACCTTTTCTAACAAAAATAAAGTGAACAAGTGTTTTTCCAAAAGTGTTGAGATATTCTTTAAACATGTCATTCTGGGCATGAGATTTAGTGAGCAGTTAAACTGTGCTCGTGACAAACAAAATCATTTTATGGATAGAAGCATCAATCAACATTCATTTCATTATCAAATCATTAATTCACAGATAACGGATTTTAACAGATGATATCATCAAACTTCATTCCATGTGAAGTTATTTATTTTCCGGTGCATTTCATACATTTTGATGGCCTGCACATCAGAGGAACTGCCAGATCTGTTCTCTGAAAGCATCACTGAACCACGGTTACTAATGTGCTCATATCAAGGACTCTATAAAAAATATTTTCAGTGTTTTAACACAGTTTTTGGAAATATAAAACAAGAAATCTGCAGCCAAATTAAGGTTGCCGAAGAGTTAATATCCATCCTCTCAGCATCCATCTGGATTAAAAGTTAAAATTACAGCAAATCCTTCAGGCTCATTCAGCTCAATTTGTTTTCAGATGTGGACTGTACCATCTGCATAACTTAATACTCAGATTAGTACAATTATTCTTCATCTTACAATATCATTCTTTTATCACAAAATATTCACACAAATAGACTAGACGGTAGATACAATACCTCCGGCCTTGAATTCTACATTCCTAATAATAATTACAAAAAAAATACTAACTGGTTTTCAAAACTCTCGTCTCCATAGACATGTAGTGCACAGGTCAGGGGACTCTATCCCTTGTTCAGTCAATTAAAGGCAAAAGACCGAGGGGGTGCCTTCGTGAGCTGATCCCAGATCAGCATGTCCACAAGCACTGAATGAAAGGACGACACACGTGAGCTGTGTTGAGCCTGGAGCGGCAGCTGGGTGGGGGGGGGGGGGAGTCATCTGTGGCTGGAGCTATTTTGCAGAGGTGTACTGCAGGAACCAGCCCCGTCTGCTTCTATAACCTCTGACCTCACGTCAGCTGAAGCCACTCTGGACTCCTCAGAGAAAGCCGCTCCAGCCACACACACACACACACACACACACACACACACACACACACAC